GAGCACCCTACAGGGAGAGGAGAAAGCAACTGAACATGTAGAGTCAAGGAGCTTTCCAGGCCCAGCTAAGGAATCTGTTCACTCTTTTAGAAGACATGCACATTTCAGCTGTTTCATTCTACACAAAACTAAACAAACTATCCACAACTTTTGATATTTACTACTAAATACTGTCAGAATCTTCCAGTTTCATGTTTGAAGAGGTAACCAATCATCCTCTCCTAACTAAAATGCATTAATCTACAAAAATACTACTGGAATGCAGATTTCTCCTTTTTGCCCCCACTAAAATTATTTAGTTTTCCCAAGATTAACTGTCTAAAGGTTTAGACAGAAACCAGACAGCCTGCAGGCACCAGGTTTTTGTGTCCTTTTCTCTTTAAATCAAGTTGTTCCAATTCTGTGTTTTTATACTAATGAAAGACACAGTAGGTTAGAAAAAAAAGAGTAAAATATGAAGAAGGATAAAACGCTGCAGTTATGCTTTAATTATGTATCTACAGTGCTTACACCAAGGAACTGACCCTGACCTCTGCTAAAAAGAAGTGGGAAGACAGCAAAACAGAACATAATGAAAACACGTAATGAATTATCTACGCATAAATTACCCTTTTGAGTTCCAACTAATCCACTGCTATTAAGCTACACATCCACTTCCAAGTAGATTCATGTTAACTGTTCCTTAATACAGTCATTTTTACTATGGAAAGAAAAGCAAGTTTTTAAAAAGCAGTATTTCTATGTATAGTGTGCGAAGGGATTCAGTGTGTGACAAATTTCTACCTGACTTTTGTAGAGTATTAAGACCCTGCTGTTAACTTTAAAAATCTTTCAGTTCTAGTCCAGAAAATGAAGGGAAACAAGGAAAAATACTAAGTTTTATACACTGATGGCATTAGCTTGGCTTCCCTTACTCTGAACATCAATCTTTACTAGCAAATAAATAAAAAATCCATCTTCAGAAATTACAAGAGGATTATCATTAGTCCTGCCTTTATTTATTCCATTTAAAAAATGTGCCAACGACCCAATGTTTCAAGTCCTTCTTCTAGCAAAGTTTAATGCTCAAAAGGTCAAATTAAATTTTCAGACTCCTGAGGGATACAGTCCTGAAAAGTTTCCCAGTACTTTTACAGTGAAATATTTTAAGAGAATTCAGGCAAAGAAACTTCCTTCCTACTAGCTTCTGAATAGAGGAGCTAAAAATCCTCCACACTGCCACTCATTTAATCTACCCAATGTGCAACTAATTTTATCTACTTAAATCAGTGAACTGATTTTCTTCATAAGGAACAGTTTTCCTTCTTGAGTGAGAAATACAAAACAAGCCAAGTCTGAAGCCTTTAACTTCAACTGACTAGTCTTCACAATCAATCATAAAATATTAATCACAGTATTCTTTTTTTCTGCATCCCTCTGAAATACCCATTATTGGCTGCAGTTAGAAAAGGGACACTGACCTCAAACAGGCTGCTGCTCTGATTAGAAGGCTCAGATAATTTTCTTAGGTGACTAGCTGCTATTTTGCTTAAGTGCTATAGGTCATAATTATCACCAAACTCAGTGACAGGAAGGAATATCTTCCAGTGAAAGCAGCAGGGCCAATAGTGGTTTTCTTTCTTCCATAGCATGGAATAGTCCACAATTAGGCTGAAATATTAGCTTCATTAACATCACTTAACATGGCTTATTTAAATGAAGGCTTAAGGTATCCTGACTTGGTGGTCCTTCATGGTCCTAACATCTCTGAAATACAACAAGAAAGATACCTGCACAAATCAGAACTATAAAAATCACTTTGATTCAAAAAGAACAGTGTAAAAGGAGTCAAATTAGATATTAAGGTGCTAGTTTTACTACTTGTGGAAAAAATAGTATTTTAATTAATATTCTTTTATTAATAAAACCTTTACTTATATGCAATCAAATTAAGATACCAGTAAGATAGATGGCCTGTAGTGACTCATTATTTTCCTTTATAAATCTATTACTTCTAATTAAAAAACTTTTGGAAAAAGTTTAGGAAAAAACCCGACCTCTTCACTTTTAATACAAGAATCAAAATCATTGCCTTAAAATTTAAAATCTTTGGCTTTTGAAAGTCCAGTGGTTTCCACAGAAATACTAATTAACATTGCTTTATGAAATCATGTGTTCTAAATTCATCTTAAGTTCACTGTTTGGAGAAATTGGAATATATTAGAAATACTTGAATATAATTCACAATTTTGAGAGGAAAATCCTCATACTACCATCTCAACACTAGCAGGCAAAACAGTGTTTTTAAAAATCTCCTCAGGACACGGGAAGCACAAGCAAGGTATACTTTGGTGGAACTATTTTGCTGGGACTCTGCATTCAAAGAAACACTGCTCCTTTCTCTTTTATTTGGGGTTGCTGGGTTTTTTTTGGCCAACATTTCTTCTTAATGCACCAATCTCAATCCAGATTAAGACAACTTTTACCTCAAAAAAAATAGCAACCAATGCACAAGGGTTCTTGGGAATTCCTTGTTCTGGCCAACTTTCCCTCTGCTCCCTGACTGTTCAACACTTTGATGCTCAGGCATTAATTGAGTGGGTCCTAATCTATATTCTTTATCACTTTCCCTTCCATACTTGTCTGTCAAGACAGTTTGCAGAATTCAACAAAAATCCTAAGAGATGTACAGAAATCTAGGCTTATTATCAACTGTTTTGTGACACGCCAGAGAAGACTTGGCCACTTCAGAAAACTGAATGCCTCTGAAAAGTATCACAGGGGTCTCTCTCATTGTCAATGTTTCCAACAGCCATTGAAATCAGGTTATGAAGATTAAAAGCAAGTGAATATCACAACCTTCTTCTGAAGAATCCCAAATGCAAGCAATGACTTGTTTAATGCAATAAACAATATTATGCTCTCAGAAAAGTCCTAAGACGACTTAGATGATCTAAACCACCCTAGCAAAGGCATAAGGACAACAGCAAATATGAGCACAGTATGCACAGAGCTTGATTAATCCCCATTACAAATTAACGGATCAAGAGACAAATAAGTGCACACGTTTGGTGATGCATAATAATTAACTCAGGTGAAACAAGCTGTAGAAGTCTTTAGCAACATTCCACAAAGAGAAAATAAGCATTAGCAACTAAACTGACTAAGTTCTATACCTGCAGGATGAACACTAATCAGCTAGTGTGTAACTTAGAGGTCCAGCAGGCGCAGAGAAAGCTGGAAGAGCACTCCAGTTCCTTTTTGTGATGACACCATTTTAAAAATATATATCAGTACCAGCAGGCAAGAGAAGAAACTACAAAATGGCACACAAAGTAGGTGACAAGGAGGTCTCCGTGAGGGACAAAAAATGCAAGCAAGCAAATGAGTTGAAAAGCACAACCTTACAAAGACAAAAAAATCTCCCATAAAAGGAATGATGATTCAAAGAATAAGGAAAATGAATTATCTCTCTTGAATGGAAAAGACTGATTTTTCACATGCTCTAACAGGAAAGATGATCCTTCTACCAAAATCCTGGCATGGCCCAGAGGACCACCAAGGTTAGAGTCTCTGCTCTTGCAAACTTCCCCACAGGCTTTGGGTATACAACTTCCTTTTTTCCAGACCCCAAAAAGGGAAAATGGGGAACATTAACACTTGTTTTTTCTCAAGTGTTTCCACGGATAAATACTTTAAGATTAAGGCATGCAGATACTGTTTACTTCATGGTTTTTATTTTATACTGTTTTGACAAACAACTGTAAGCTGCAGAACCATAGCAAATTATTATTTGCTATTATCAAAACCTGAACAAATTAATTTTAGACATTTTAGCTGTCACACACAAGTTTGCCATATAACAATTTTTGATTTCATTATATACTGTGCTATGATACCACTACAGTTCTGCAACACAACATACTGGACAAAAAGACTGAATGCCTTTGCCTACTCAAAAAGGTGATTTCAACCACAACCTGAATCACCAGTTAAAACTGAAATTTAAGCTTATGGTGGGACAGGAGAATAGCAGCATGGAAACATTTTGCTATAAATTTGCCAGGTCAAATTCTCTATTACCACCACTGAGGATCGGACTGACCTACCTTGTGACACTGTATTGCAGCCTGGCTTTTTAACTCTGGCATAACAAATATAATCTGCAAAAGTTTTTTTTTCATTTCATTTCATTTGTTTAGAATTTTCCCTGTAATTTCAGGAACAATAAACCCCAAAGCTCATTATTAAGCCTTTTGAGAACACCTAGTTTCCTCTTGTTTCAGCTATGCAGCTCTCAAATTTTACTGTATTAGCTTCCAGTGCAGATTATATAATTACCTAAGTTTAATTCAAAATTTAGACTGGTCAAAACAAAAGTTATCTCCCAAACTACGAATGTGACCACTGCCACCTTCAGTTATAACAGCACTGGCCATCTCTGGTTTGTTATAAATGAAGAGAGGAAAAGGATGCATTCCATCTGACTATAGTGCGGCAATGCACGGGGAAATATTCCAAATATTGGCTATGGTTTTCACAGTGTATAAATATAAAATCTACTATAAGATATAGCAAAGTAATAACCTTACTGCTCAAAGACAGACGTGGACATTTTAACTGAGAAAGATCATGTTAAGATTATATGGTTCAGCTGACCAATTATTTATCGAGATATAATACACTACCTAAGAATATCCTCTATCTTAAGACATTAAAAACCTGTAGGACTGAGTAGAAAGCAAAACCACTGAGTATACAATAGTAGCACATTTCCGCCTTAGCTTTATAGTACAAACAGCACCATAAAAACATTCAAATTCATCAACGAGGGTGAAAGACTGCTATGTGCAAATATGTGCTTCAGCATTTATAGGATGGAAAAGGTATGAGGAGTAAGACATCATGAAAATGACGAGCACAACGCAGATTTCACACATGCAGCTGGAATCAGAAGTCAGTCTTGGTTTGCATGTTGATAAACCATGCTTGAGTCAGCACCAAACAGAAGATGTTCCTACCTGACAGGGAGCCGGGTCCTCTGAGCCAACAACAGTTCTGTGGGTCCAGTGAGGTGCACCTCCCCATCCTGAAAGGATACCTGGGAAGCACCCTGTTGAGAGATTTCGAAGCACATTTTGAAACTATGTACATATTTATGCATATAGAACAATGGCTGTACTTCTATTTTTGAGTCAGTATTTGGAAGAGAAAACAAATCGTAAGTCACACCATCTCACTGACAGTGAGGACTGAAAGACACATTCTGTATGCAGCGTACATGACAGCATTCAGAGAAAGAGGAGAGTATATAAAGCCCTGCTCGTCGTGCCAGGGTCTCACCATGCTTCCAATGGAGATGCTCGTGGTACTGCTTCCTTGTCTCCCTAACCTGAATGTCACACTTTCCCATTCTAAGCCGATTTCTTTCTCACAATGGATTCCACAGACCTTGGATAAACCCAACTTTTTTTTCCCCTGCTTTTTCTCTCTCTTAGTAGCATTTATCTGGTAAAGACATATTTTCACAGTCACTTCACAGAAAAAGAAATTATGAAGCCATTTGGCCAGACACAAAAATACAATGCACACAGAGATCTGACATAATTGTCAAAGTTCTTGAAAACTATTATTTAACTTTATTTTTGTGATCCTTATACTTGTAATGTTTGCATTTTTTCCATACTGGGAGAGGGAAAGAAGTACCAACGAGATAAGACCACTGTCAGCAGGTGATATATTAGCTTTAATGTACTGTACTTCATTGCGACCCTTATGGCAATAATGTAAACAGAGCAAAATCTGTAACAAAGACCTTCTTTGGAGAGGTCACTTCTGCCAACTCTGCAACAGGAATATAGCTGGAAGACATAAATCTTCAGCTGTCAACACACTAAGAGAATTCAATTCAGAGCTTGATCTTAACTAGATAAAGCCTAAAGTTAATCATTATTTTTTTTCTTCTTGCAGTGGAACAGTTTTCCAGTGTACATACTTGCCATATGAAGTTGTCTCAAGGCAAAAGGTAGCAATGTTATGAATTAATTCCAAAGAACAAAGCCAACTGGACAGGTAATTTAATTTTCAATAACAGCTCTACACTGTATATTAAAACTTCCAATTTCTTTCAAAATATAGCTCTACTCAGAAAGTCGGTTTTAAAGGTTTGGAGTTTTCAGTTCCCCAAAGATTTGTATAACTTATTTTCAGTTTATAAGTGTCAAGAGAGTTGGGGGTGAGAGTGGGTTGCAAGCCAACCTTTGGAATATAAATCAAGCTGGATCCTCTTTTGGTTCACACACCGCTTTTGAACCTATAATACCAGTAGCAATTCTCTTTGTCTGTTAATCAGAGCACAAGCCAAAAGACTTGGCTTCCACTGCAGGACCAAAATAGCTCACTGAAAGCAAACTTCTGTCACTACTGGAAGAACTATTTTTAAAAACATATATTGAGTATGTGACATCTCTTCCAATCACTTTTCACAGTGGAACCACATGTCAAGGAGCAATTCTTGTTATATGAAGCGTATTCCATCCTAACCTCATAAATCAGGAATCCAACCTCAAGCAGGGCATTAGCAACAGAAATCTGACACACAGCCTTCATATGTTGACTTCATCTTGAGAAAAGATAGTGCTTTACTAGCAACAGATGTCAAAAGCAGACAAACCTCTTAATAATAACGTTACCAACAAAGCTAACCTCCTTTAGCTAACCACTGAAAGCACTGGTGCTACAAAAGCTCTTCTTTTTGGAAGGCTGAAAATAGCCAAGCCACAAGCAGATTTTGGGTTGTGAATTAACTAGACTCTTTTCTTCCAGATGCTGGCTGCGACACAGTGCTGCTCAGTGCCTGACAGAACTTGCTGCTCATGCCTCAGAACTGTTTTGCTATTTAATGCCTCCCTTGCAGTCTACACAAGTCTGTATAAGCTATGTTATTTCTATATTTCCAGGCTTTTGGTTACTGTTCTTGATGTAGCGAGGTTACGTCCATACTTGTCCTCCATCTACACTTCCTTGGGAAACAAATTTCACAGTAATGACAAATACTGATGTTCAGAACGCAATTCATCTCATGTTTCTGTTGACTCTGATTCACAGGTTCTAAACCATAAGGAACCATTCTTTGATCAACAAGTCTAATCTCATACTGGAAATTAGGTTTGTTTAGTGACGCAGCACAAAACTCGTAAGGGCAGAGTTACACTCCAACATAAGTAAGAGGTTCCTACAAAAAGATAGCAACCAATAGCTTTCTTTTCTGCTAAAGACCGAAACAGCAAAAAGTGTCTTGAAGCCAGATAATAGGGTTATTATAGCTATGACGGGTATCAGACCTTCAATAGAGGTCTTCAAGAACAGATTTAAAAACACATCACAAACGTTTCAAGGCATGTTCATTCCTGTGCCAGAAAATAACGGTCCAGCCTTGTGAGGTGCCTGACAGTCTCACACTTCCACGCTTTCATCATTCCCCAACATAAAACTTCTGTGAGGAATTAGAGGATGAAGCTTGATGTCCATAACTGCAATTTCAGCTTGGGTTGGGTTTGGGTTTTTTTTTGGTGTTTTTTTTTTTGGGGGGGGGTGCGTGTGTGTGTGTTTTTTGTTGTTGTTAGTTGTTTTTATTTACTTATTTATTTAAGGGTAAAAGCTCCTAAAGAAAAGTTGCCCTCTCCTGAGCTGGACAGAAGTGTGCTGAGGGACTTCAGAAATGCCACAGGGGGAAGTTCAGTGTCCCATCCTGCACCCCACCACCTGTTTTGATTTGAAGGTATATCATGCTCACACATATCACAGATTATCACACATTCAAGTCAGTAAACACAAAGTCAGATACATTTAAAGTCTTAACTGATCAAGGAAACATGATTCATAACACTGAAATGATAATTAAGCTCTCTGAGAACGTCAGAGCTGTAGTCACATAACAATCACTACAAGTGCACAAATTCCTTTCATACTTCACCATTACGAGAAGCACAGTAAATTTGAACAGATCATCTCCTGCCCAACTAGCAGAACTACAGCAAACCAACAATGCACAAGTAAAGACACTATTAGAAGATAATGACCCAATACACACAAAAATTCTCAACTTCTTGTTCATATTTTAAAGACTGATTCAATAGTAGCAGAATTAATGACACTGATTCCCAAAACTTGACTCAAATTCAGCTGACGCTGTAATAGATTTACAGTGACAGTGACACGATTGCAGTTTTCGCTTAGGAAATAGGAATAAAATGCATAATGGTGTGGTAAAAACAAAAGCCAAGAAAAAAATATGCATCCAAGAACAGTGGAAGTTTTAAAATTTATTTACATAGGGATAATTTGAATTAAGCAATATTTTTTTTAGTGGTGCAAAAAGCACGTTCTTCAAATTAGGACTGAAGCAGAAGAGAGGGATCCTGTTAAATAACAGTCCTCCGCAAACAATTGTAACTCAAATGCTTGAGAGTCTCATATTCATTACATGACAGCTCTCAAATTAGGTAATGTGTATGTGTAACAGTAGAAAGAGTGACAGAGAACATAGCAGTAACATCATCTACTTTGCGAACATGCACAGTCTTCTCAATTCAACAGTCAGCTATGCATTAGCTTCAACAACAAACATGCTGTAATCAGTCATGGGTCTTATTGAGGTGAGAGAGTATGAGAAATTCTCCGTTTTTTGTTTAATTTTTGAAAATACTCATCTCATAATAAACACAAAAACATCTGGGGGGAAAAAAGCAATAGTGGCACCTTTGGACAGACATGTGGAGGTATCAGCTTCTGAGTAGAAAAAGAGAGAGGGAGAGACAGAATTGACTGAAAACAGTCAGAACTACTTTTATGTCGAACGAAGGGTGCAGCCCTGAGCAGCTAACACAGCAGATGGCTGCCCTGACAGCCAGGAGACTGACCAGCACCATTGCTCTGGTTTCTCACTATCATTGCAACCCAGAAAACCTGGATTTTGGTATCTTAAAAAACCTGCACCAGATCCGTTTTCTAACTAAACTCTGGTTATAGTGTAGTTTTGCACTACATTTTAGCTAATAAGAAATCTTTTGTTGAGGTTCTTCTGCAGCAACATTTTGCAAGTTCACCCACGAGTGGACCGTACCACCTAGCCCAGTAAAACAGCTTTAGAAATATTCACGGGCCACCAGTGGCCATAAAAAGGGCCCTAAACCACCTCAATTCTCCCTGATAGCCTCAGAATAGTATTCTTAAGACAAGAAGTAACTCTGCAAGTAGTATAAGATTGCAAACATACCACTTCTAGAAAAGCTAGATAGTAGAAAACATGCTCTTCTACTTAGAAAAAAAACCCCACCTTGTTAAACAATAAGCAACATCAGACAAATCTCAGAACTAGATAAATTTAGAGACTAGGAAGTCTACACAAAAAACTGGAGAAAAACCTGAGTGCAGGGTATACTTGGAGTATAAAATGATCATCAAACACTAACAATAAAATTGAAAGAAATAAGTAAGATCCATTAATAAGAAATACACATGGTGTCTACTCAAAGCAGGACTGAAGCAGTCTGGTATACCCAAGGGAAAGTATTTTTATCTGAAACTTTCTTTTAATGACAAAGTTAAAAGTGAAAATGTATGTCTGAAGTTCCAGTTTACAGTATTGTATTCCCTGAGGGAGCTAGCTTTTTAAAAACAAAGGAAAGGCATCCAAACCCTAAAGCAGAAGGTCACAGAGCAGGGTGGCAGGCTGCAGAGCTGGCTCTCCCTACTTGGCCAACAGTAAACCTTCTTCCAAGAAGGTTCAGTGGGAGTTCAGATCCTACCAATACAACAAACAGTCAGATATAAGGAAACCTGGGGGTGGAAGGGATGCTTAGTTTACAAACGCAGGAAATGTCTCATCTACTGCTCTCACAACAGACAATTTTAATTACATATTTAAAAATTGAACATTTTTAGCAACACTTTCAGGATCATGTGAGCATTTCTGACAGCCAGAATGAGTTTTAAAAAGCCACGGCACTATTTTTAGCTTTAAAAATCTGCACTTTCATAAATATTCCCAAACCAATTAGTCTGTGTTACAAAGTAAAGGTGTTTACCTTTAGTTACAGCAACAAATGCAAC